GTGTCTATTCAGTAACTCGTACCCATGGAGAACCTTACCTGAGAGTACTGCAACTACTAGGCTACTCTAGGAGCCGAAACGAAAAACCAGTTCTGAGTTGTTTGTAGAAATATTGAAGATATATAGACGGCTACTAATGAAAAATTGACGCAATTAGCGATGGGTGAACTATCAAGCAACCAGTTATCATCAGTTGTTTTTGATTATGGGTGGAGGTGGTGCAGTAGCAAGTGGAGCACTTCACACACACATAGTCACGGGTTTGAATCCCGGATCGATATCTGCCTAGACCAACCGAGCCTTCCATCCTTCTGGTGTCGGTTACTTGGTACCAGCTCGTCTGGGAAGATAAAGGCACTGGCTTTCACATCGGCTGGCCACTGCAATTCATTGTATAGGCCACATATCCATTCAATACGCCATTACGGATGGAAGTCGAATGCGTGGGCCTGTCCTTCAGACGGAATTGATTGACTGCCGAGATTTTACCCTTTTATTTTCGACCATATAATGAGCAATCACTGGCATAAAAGTCCACCCGAGAAGTGCTAGAACACTTCGAGCTTGGGTGCTGTAATGCAATGACGTGATGTATGATAAAACAGTCAAATGGAGGTGTTCATGCAGAAGTACGACAGCAGCAGAAATACTAAAGAAACCGAAGGAAGCCCAAAAATTTGGTCCCTTGTGTACCACGTAATCTTCATTGAGAGAGGGCAAGGAGACGGGAAGGAGTGTCCTAACGGTGTTTCGCCGATGCTAAGCAGGTTGGCTGTTCCGTAAGATAGCGAGTTATCCGCGGCAGCCCCTGGGCGTGTTGAACAGCCTTATGGAGATAGTCATCCCAGCGGCACCGCTTCCAGATGTCTGTTTGAGGTGCCCACCTAGGGGTGTTCTTGACGGCGGTAGGCATTCCCAACACTCTGAGCCCTTACTGCTTCCTTTCAAGATGGTTTGCGGCAGTACCACCACATATCGTTTCCTAGTGTCAGAGTCTCGTGCCATCGGATAATCTATAGAATAATCCAACAGTTTCCAAGTTGGGCTCATAACACCCCAACGAAAAGGAGTGATGGCTTTCATAAAATATTGCCATAAGCCTAGCTGTCAAAAGAGTTTGAATCATGCGAAGTCATGACCAGCTGCTGGGAAATGTGCAGCACTACAAACATGCTCATAACTACCGATAGGATGTTTACTGGCGATGATGGATGGGAAGAAACAAAACAATCAGCTCTGATTGTCGCTAATAAAGACGGGCCATATGAAAATAAAAAAAAGGCCCACAACGACTCATATTTCCTCGAGAAAATAGCAATGGTCCTCCGTTATCTCTTATCTTGCGATAATAGAAGTGAAAGAATTAATTAAGTTGAATGAAGAATATGTGAGATCAAAAACGACGAAAAGGTGGACGCACAGGGACCAAACAAACTAGAGAGTAACATCAAACCTAATTTGGGAAATAGGAGGCTGCACAACAGCCAGAGTACATATGTCACTAAGCGCTGGGCTCTCGGTATAATGTAGATCAGGGAAACGTCGGGATGGTCCCCAACTTGTGAAGTTTGTGGTGAGCTTATGAGTTAGAATAAATAGGAAGTACGTTCCGTTCTGGTGGACATCGGAGCTCCAAAATGGAATAGAATTGTGGGTATCTCACTAGGCGAGCATAGGATGCATATGGGGAAAGATTCGACATTTACAAGGTTCCTATTGACGTGAAACGTAATCTCACGCTGTGGAGTCTTCCCGGTTTGCTCACTCATGAAGGCAGTGAAAGACCATGCGCAATAGGCATTTTTTAATGATTACCCGTTTCCTACCCCCTGCATCATTGTGCAGGCTACAATATCTGCCGACGTACATAATGACAGTTTTTTGATTATACGACAAAGTAAAGGTCAAGGACGTTCCTCATGTTCACAGTGAGGTTACAAGACAAGAGTCCGATTCAGTGCTCCTACCGATTGATACAATCCTTGGCGAGTTCAGCAATTTCATCCTTGATTATCCCCGAGAGTCATCAAGAAACAATGTCAAGAACGTCACATGAAAGGCCCAAGTTCGGATAACTTTCAAGTCAAAAGTGTGAACGATCGGCCAAGTTAGTTCGACTGAGAGGTTGAACCGTCAGTTTAAAGAAACCGTAGACACTCTTTTCGGAAACCTATTTGGTAGCCCATGTTTTGAGGAGTAAAATATGGCTAGGCGGTCAACTCAAGGGCAGAGAAATTCAAGAAGGAATTCAAAAGACCATGAACGAAATGAGAGGAAAGCATTGCGAATGTTAGATTGTATCCAGCCAGACAATGGGCTGTAAGAGCACGAGGCGAGACAGTTTTTGCTCGTTCGCTGCATCTACAACAATTGACATTCGGAGGTTTTTCCGTTTCGCTTTACACTGCTTCGAATAGTAGATGATTTTTCTTGCTCTTAGATACACTGGTGCTTATTCAGAGCAACTGCTCTCAATGCCGATCTGAAGAGACGCTTAGAAATTGAACAATCCGGCTACCCCCACGTTGATGGATGTGTACTTCGTGAACTCGAAAAACCTATGGTATGCATAAACGGTCTAAGTGGTGATACTTTGTTATGGAAATCTTTTTCTACTTTAAATGCTGGGGGGCGGAATTTCTGCCCGATTCTCCACGTTCGCTTTGCCGCATGCGGCAAATGTTTTTTAGTTGTCTCGCGGCTTCAAACTGCAGGTATCGTATCCGGCTCGCTTCCACGCCAATCGATAGCGCACCATATTTTCGTTGACAGCCTTTCTTTTTTGATTGGTCGTTTGAACCTAAACGGTAGCTAGTAGCAAAAGTAAACACAATAGCCATCAAACATGTAACCACTCGCTCCTCTTCTATTATCAACGATCGAGACAGCATGGGGAAAGGAGGAAATGGCTGGGAATGGTAAATAATTGATGGGCTCTCTGACTCACAGATTGCGCGCTCCAATCATCCGCGATAGAAGACGTCTGCGGTGAGCGCGACGCGATTTTCGGGGAGGAGATAGCACGGTAGCTAGTAGCAAAAGTAAACCCAAAAAGCTGACTGCCCTTGATCGCGTTTTGTACCGATTTTCTAGAACTGTCTGGATTCCTCGCATGGGTCGAAAGAAACAATAATGGGATAGGAAAAACCCTTTTTAAAGGCAATATCAAGACGTTTCCAGGATTATGAGCTTGAAACAGCTGAAAAGTTCCAAGAAAAGATGGCTCACGTCAGACAACTGATGGCCGATCTCTTGGTAAGGACCAATCTCAACGAATGGGCAGCGATTGAGGTCAGCTTTGCATTGTTCTTGGTTGTACGTCAACTTCCAACTAGTTGTTTTGACTATCCAACAGCTTGAAATATTTTCGTGTCGGCACCACTGGGAAGAGATGAATCAGCGAAATTCCAGGAAATGGCCGAACAAGAAAACGAGGTGACCGCGAAAATTCGTGACGCCTGTAATGCCAGGGATATGCTTCGTGATGCGTTGCTCGAAAGTAAAAAAAGAGCTGAAGATGCGATGGCAGAGAGGAAAGAGCGCTATGAAGCAAGTTCTTTTATAATGGCGGATTGCTTTCGTTGTAGGTGGAACAGCTGGAATTCCCACGTTGATTTTTTTAGTTTCTGCTTGTTTCCTGCTGATTCATACCTCAGTTTGCAATGAGGAAATTACATTAGAAGAGGGAACCACTGCTTGAACACTCTTTCTCACTCGCAAAAGCAAACTCATCATTTTGTGATGGGTGTTGTACTTTTTCACTGTTCCACCCACACCTCGAAAACATTCTGACGGCCCGGGACTGTTCTTCGAACTCACCTTACCACTTTCAATTGACTAACTCAAGGAATCAGTTGAAATCCACTGGAACCGATGGAAAAGTCAGTGACCTCTGGCTATACGTTTTCAGGAGCTTCAAGCCCTAGAAAACCAGCTTGAAGTCTGTTCAGCTGCTGCTTGGCTGGCTATCACTGAAAGGAATAGGTGAGTTTGGAAACTGTGCCTAGGCCTAATGGGCTTCATACATATGCAATCGTAGTCATGGGTATACTTAATAACATTGACTAATCCATCGGAGTGCGCCATGTACCCTATTTCCATTCAAAAGGTTTTGCCGTTCAGTGTTTAACTATAAAGTCAGGACTATTTGCTTGAATATTCCTAGAATGTGGGATCAAGACGCATAGTGTGTAAGGGAGGAGGCCCCCTAAGCTCCAGTGGAATGATAGCCTGAACACGCTTGAATGTGATTTTCTGCTTAGACTCGAAAAAGACCCCTTCTCCTTCAAAATAATGAACCAACCTTAAAGTTTAAATAATTCAACTAATTTATCCTAATATTCTATGCAAGGTGCTGGTAGATTGCTGTGACATTTGGTCCATCTAGGCGAATTCTCCAAAGGGTGCCATTTTAGGCTCAGAGATCGCTTGACGATTCTGTCAAAGGAGCCTCATGTGGAACCATGCCGACGAATGGAACATACTGCGAAGGTGGTACAGACAGTGGTAAGTTTGGAAATCTTCAGATGTAGAGCCCTGCTCCGTACGCTCTAGTAGACCCGCTAGAGTTCAAAGGAGAAGGATATGAGAAGTCATTTACCTCGATTTCCAGTAGATTGAAGGAGGGGGAACATTCATTGAGGTGACGCAATGAAGACGAATACCTCGCCTCCGTCACTCTAGAGTGAGTTCTTCTTTCAGTGGGCTTCAAGCGTAAGCGCACACATGTGGGTCAAGCAGTCTAGTTGAGGGAAGAACGTGAACGACGGCTACAGTACTGTTGGGCCATATGGGAGACGGGCATTAGGAACGATTTTGAGTGATCGATTCGCCGCACGCGGCTGTCGCGGACCACTCATTCGCCGTTATTACAGCTCTAGCGTTCTTCATACAGTTCAATCGATATGCGATCATTATTTAATGCATATTTCTACTATTAGTACTTTTCTTCTTGTATTTCTTAGCTACTGCTGCATCCTGCTACGTTCCTTCGCGTGCGACGTCCCTCTCACCGCGACGCGACAATTTCGTTCCAACTGCACCACACCCAGGCCACATAGAAATGAATGCTTATAGCACGGAAAGCGCAACTACGGGTTCGAGTCTCGTCTGAGACTGATGTTTTGTCCACAAATCTCAAACCTTGTGAGACTTTCGGATCGCGTACTGTGGCGAAATAGCAGAGTGAGCAAAACATCACGTCAAATGAATCGCTATAGAGGACATGACCGTTCATGTCTAAGTCCGCAGCTTTGAGCGATGTCTCCTCTTCGTAAGTGGTCGAATAAGATCTTCGGTGGAATACTCGATTTCTACTGAGTAACCCCATTGGTGTTATGTTCGGTTCTTAGTGCAGGAATGAGTATCTGTGATAGAGACCCCGTCTCCAGGTCGTCACTGACCTCATTTCACCTCTACCTTTCAGAATAATACAAGGTTCATATCTTCACTGGACCATGACCTCTCAATTTCCAGAGCGAGCGTATATCGGAGGAATCAGTTGTTACCATTCATACCGAAAAAGAAACGACAATCAGAGAAGGAGCTACTGGAAGCTCAGACAAAACTGAAGCGGTCTGTTATTGTCTTCGGAAATTTCAGGACATTTAACCCTTTGATAACAAAGCGGGTTTCGACGTGACGCGCCCATGGGACCACTCTCCGACTGGCACCCATCGGTGGGTGGCACCGTCCCACGGGAAAATTCTTTCACAAGCTTAGTGCATTTAGCAATTGGTAAGAAACAAGGAAGTATGCTGGCACCCAGAGTTGGGTGCCAATGTCCCATGAGACCACCGGTTGGTGCCATTGTCGTCAAATGGTTAATCGCAGTAAACAGGTTGTCGAGAGGCATTAGATTCTGAGCAACAGAAGTAATTTGCTTGCAAATATTGCCCGCGTAAAATCAATACCCATTTCTCATCATGGGAATTTTGATTCGACTCCCATTTCAGTTCGGCATAATTTATTTTTTTTTACCCCAGTGATAGAATTCCGAAAGTATTATTTATATCATCTCGAGATCATCTTACCATTCATTATTACTTTTTATGATAGTCATTTCCGTGAGAGACCTCAATACCCTCAAGACTGACCGTGATTTCAGCAACGTGAGCTATTACTTCCAACGAATATCATGACCACGATCCAGAAAGTGCTCCATGATTCTCTCGGTCTTGATGTGGCCTTTGACGGCGTAAGTTATTTTATGAGTTCGACGTATTATGTGAAAAAATGAAAGTAATTTGTTCAAGGATTAATCGCACTGAAACCGAAACGGGAGCAGCGACTATTGCTATGAAGACATAGGCTTTTACCAATTCGATTTTCTATAAATTGTTCCAGTTTTATTGAATATTTCTGAGAAAGGGGCTACAGTATAAAGGCAAAGGGTGGGCCACCCGTCAACTGAGAAAGAATGAAAAAGAAATTGCTGAATGCTCGACCAGAAATTTGTTTTGTAAGCAAACTGATAAGTTGACATACCAGGAAAACAGATTTTAATTGAGGAACCGTTGGCCAATTTTGCTTGGAGCAGCCTTTTTTAATTGATAAAAGATCCTGTGGGCTGAGAGGGACAGGGATATCCCTTCGTCACCTCCGATCATAGCGTTAGTAGAAGAGTGTTAGAGTAGTTTTCTGTTCGAACCAAAGCAATATTTCTTAAAAAGGGGAGTGAGAGGGGCAAGCACTCAAATTGCAAGGAAGAACTTTCTAGTAAAAATATCGCGGTGGTGCAAAAATGGGGTGCGCTTTGTTGCGCGCGTCCGTCGAAACTAGGTCACGCCGCAGCCGTCGCATGCGGCGAGTCAGCCCGCGATACTTGACAGACGTCGCAGTTGTCAGTGGGGCATACGCTTTGCGCTTGGTCCACGGCAGTCAGTTCAAAGAGAAGATAACACAGACAAATGCAAACCTTTCGCTCCACTAACACTTAGTGGTACTGTAATGCTATCTCAATAGCTCGGTCGCTCTCCGGAGATACCCCTACTAGACAGTACTCTTGAAGGAACGATTCAAAAATTCAAGTAGATAATAAAATCACCTCAAACAGAATACAACTACAACAGAATGATTACAACTGTTTTACTTTGTCGCTAGCAATTGCAAGTTTTGTTTCGAACATGGTCAGAAGTCCACGCCACATTGCCATTCGATTTCGGGCTATGGCTAAATCCGTGCTGCCACCGGTTCGCTGATTGAGCTGGTCGATCTGTCGTTGCGTTTCTTCTATTTGAGCCTTAACTAGGTGCTTACTGATAACTATCAAAGGCTGTCGGCTTCTGAAGTAGTCCAAAGTGAAGCTCTTCCAGAACTATGGAAATAAAAATGTAAAAACCTTTAGCCGAGCGACACCACCATTAGCATCTTCGCCTTCGATTGTCGAAAGTTGACTTTGAACCTCGGCAATCTGGTTTTCAAGCGATTGAATCGCTTCATTGGTGGCAGTTTCTTCTTGTTGCATCTCTTCCACCAACTAGAACGGAATCAAAGTTTAATCAGTAAGTCTCTGGGTTCTGGGGGGAGGGAGTTTCCCAAACTAGGACCCGAGTTTAGACGTACTTCCCGGACACCGTGATTGTCCTGTATGCTACTCAAAACGAGCGGTTTCGCTTAGTTTTCGAAAAATCAAACAAAACAACAACTTTTTAGCATCTATCCAGGCAAAAAGACGAGGAAATAGCACTAAAATACTATTACTAGAAAGATTTAGAACGTAATATTATACGGAAAACGTTCTAGGTGGTTAGATGAAGAGCTCGCTCGTGTTTCTTATACCTCCCATTCTAAGAATTTCAAGGCATTTCTGTGCGTGGATTTCTGGCTCGGATCCAGTTCATATTCGAGAGGACACTCCGTAACTCCCAAGACGAAAATGTAAAAAAGCAAACATTCTAACTGTGGGATCTCTCACTAGAACGCTCCCTTAGCAATGTTACTATTTGGAAACAAGAACTAGTATCGAACCCAGAAAGAATGACAAAGTAAACAGAAATGATAAACAGTAAATAATGGACTGATAGGACAAACCTGCTTCTGTTCCTCATAGCTCTCTTCCATTTGTGCTCGTCGTCGCTCGTAATCGTTTTGTTTGTTGCGGACATGCTCGGTAAGCTCCTGCAGATAGTAGAGTAGGTGAACGTCAAAAGTTGTTCGGTAAGGTCATTAAATCTTACATTCAGAGCTTCTTCTTGTTCTGCGTGGACCTTCTTCAGAGGGGCAAGCTGATCGCTGCGCTTGTCGAGCGTCTGCATCAGACCCACCACCAGTGTCTTCAATTCCTCCACGTCTGACGACGTAGGAGCTGCTGTTCGAGGTCGTGCCGGTAATGGCGCATCTTCTGGGTCCACTACTTTCCCGTCCATGCTTTCCTGAAGATTACTTTCAAAATTTAGCTCTATTATTTACTCTCTCTCTCTACTCTCTATGATTCAAGGAGTGGACAAATGGAAAACAACTTGTTAAGTGAGAATCAGAAGGTGATAAGAAAGCTTTGGTGGTGTTCGCCCGACAATAGAACATCTCTACGGTAGGTATCGAACTTTTGACTGGTAGCCTTACCAGTTAAGGTATTTTAAGATTTTATTCGGTTTTTTCCGAGCAGACGATAAGGGATTTACTGCAATGCATTGTATAGGGCAAATGCACATTCAAATGGAAGTACGATTATGAATGGGAGTCGAATGTAGGGCGCATTCCACTAATGGGATCGAAAACGCTGAAGTCTTTTCATAATGAAGTAAAGAATAATATTAGTCATTACTCATTTAGCAATTGTGTTATCAAAAAAGAGTAGTTCTCACAATTTTTTCCTTGAGCCCTTCGAATTTCTTTGCAAGTAGGTCAATGGTTCTCAGCAAGACTTCACGTTCCGTCAGGATCTCCTCAATCTGCGCCTTTTTCTTCTTGTAGACCACTTTCTTGTCACGTACTTTAATCACATATGCTTTGAACTGAAATCGATCGATGAAGAACACAGTCTTCAAGGTGAATCCAATCAATAATTCAATATCCATGTACGAAATCAAATTTGTGTTTAATCTCTTATGGTTCCACGACACCGATAGGAATTATTCATCAGAACTCGAGGAAAGTGAAGGTGCTAAATGTATAAGTGAACATGAGAGAATGGTGATGTTCTCGCTCAAACACTATGATCACAAAGGGGTGTGTAGACTCTACATTTCGGACTTAATTCGTTTTTACAGATCATTTCGCTCTGGCTTGCTTTCTTTAAGTACAACTGGAATCGGTTCCTATAAACTTACTTGGTGAGCACTCATAACATCCGCACCACTGGTACTGCGAAGGACCTGTTTCTTCTGCTCAACGTGTTGTTCCAAGCCGCTGAGCTCTTTCCTTAAAACAGTTTCCTGACTTTTAGCAGAAAAAGTCGTGAAAAATAACTGGTCTCCAAGGGAAAGAAGTGATATTCCCTTATATTGCTTTAGTATAGTGGACTACAAATCAATAAAGCCTGATTCAAACAATGGACCCTTCGATACCAAAACTCTTAGATATCTATGTGGAATGAGTTTCTTTCTTTCTTTTGCTTCATTTCCAACCCATTTTTGAATTGGTATTGATTTATTAACCAGTTCAACTACTAGTCAAATTGCTAATCAATTTAAAGGCACTGTTCAAGAAAAACGGTTTTGGAAATCTGCACATGGTTTGAATTCGACGCCCCCGCTGATACCATTTGTGCAGGAATGAGGTCGGAAAACGGTCTGGATAGGGCACAACAAGGGCAGGAACAGTGGGGGACTTGAGGCCTCCGCCCCTCGCTAGGCTGACTACGAGTTCTAATTGTCCTTCACCCCATTCGTATTGGAGCGAAGTTGTCTGCTTGGGTGTGTTGTCTGCTATTGCAGACATTGCGTCGCCTTCGTGCACTCGCCCGAACACTCCTTTAACCCACGTTCTTCCAATGTGAAACTCGTCCAACTACCCCCTTTCCAGCTCTTTTTTGACCCTTTCTATTTCTTTTTGTTCATCTTTTTTGCGCTTTTTTCGTTGTTATCGCTTTATTCTAGAATAGTTCTATGAATTCCCGTCAAAAAAGGGTACCCTAAATTTATCGTAAACGGTGCCTTTAATGTATAGCTCAATCATTTTCCCTGTATGGAGTCCTGCTTCGAAAAGACTGTCTATTATTCATGCAAGACCGAGGGTTATCGAACTTCGACTGCTTCAAAACGTCCAATGGCTTTCCATTGTCCACTCCATTCGTCCGAGTGTTTCATTTAATTTTCCTTTCCGAATGTTTTTTACTGAGGGAGGGTATATTCAGATAAGTGAGCGAGGGCGTACTGACATGTGACATAGTACCACACAAGCAGCCTTAGGTTCTAATCCAGCATCGATATTCGCTGAAGCCAACAAAGTCTTCTGTCCCTTTAGTGTCTGCTTATTTTTAGCTGAAGAACCATCCAGGTGGAAGAAGAACACTGAAATCGACATTTCTGGCCACCCACACCCTGATGTATAAACATGAAGGCGCTAGTAAAGCCGCGATTCTGGATGGAAGTCGAAGGCGCGGCGCATCCTAAAACGGGATTGGGGAACGGGGCGCCAGATACCATATCCTTCATTATCCTCCATTTCGAATGATATGTAGGTTGGACTGTTTGCCTTTTTTGTTCAGGTACAAGATCTTGTTATGTTCCGTTGGTTACTGGTCTTGCAATTCTACTTGCATCCTTAGTGAACAAATGAGTTGAATTATAAGGTTTTTTTAATGGTCGTGGGCATATCGATGTCCCACATACGAATACTACGCATAAGGGGGTCAGAGTGGTCCTGTTCTGCCCACCGTTGTTACATTTTTCCTCAATCGCTCTTGTTTCTTCTTTACGGAATTTCCTTTACCTTTCAATCGTCTCTTTTGCAGCTTATTTTCACATTTTCTCGTCCCTGAATTGTAGTTTTTTTTTTACAAAAGTTCGTTTTCTATATTGTTTTACTGTCCGGTTGGTATAACCCTTGGGTATTCTGAATATTGACTGGGTACTGGGTAGATCTAAGGTCAAATAGAATCCCACCTGAAAAACAGTGTTCAGGGAAGTTTCCGAAGAAGCAACGGGCATTCACTTTTTTGAAGCAACTTCAAAAAAAATGATACAGTAAGTGGGGGTGGTTAG